GTGTCCTCACCCCCGCCAGTGGCGTCCTCGTCCTCGGAGTAGTAGATGGATGAGTCAAACTCCTCAGGGTTCTCGCATGGCTTCGGTAGCTCCTTCCCATCTCTGATCCGCTCTAGCAAGACTTCTTGAGCCCGTTGCAAACCCATGGAGTAATTGGCTTGCCCCTCTTTGAAGAGGAAACGTTGGCCGGCGGGAGTTCGAGCCCAGATCTTTAGGAGATCGTCCATGCGGGCGAGAGCCGCCTCCTCGAACTCGGGGGAGGTCTGAAAGGCCTCGACCACGTGCTCGGCTTCCTCGTCCAGGCGGCGTACCTTCTCCTCAGCAGCAGTGCGAGCCCGCTCCTCGGCATCAGCAAGCTCCCCCTCGAGGCCAGCCACGTGCTCCTGCAACCTCCGAAGCTCCTCTTCGCCTTTTGCCTTCTCCGCCACATACCACTCGAAGCGCTCCACCAGCTCTGGGGCGCGCATGGCCACCTACAACAACAATGAAAATTTGGCAAATTTTGTTAGAATCCATCTAAGTGTCGGGCAGAAACGCACGTCATACCCTAGCAAAGAACGCTTACTGAGCCCAACTCGAGCAAGAGAGTGGAGGCGAGGTCTTTCGAGGCGGCCGAACTTATCTCCATTCGGTCTGGCGGAGGGATGAAGCTCTGCAGAAAACGGCGAGGCTCATAGTCCCCATGCAAGAATGAAGGCTTGAGGGGGAATGCCACCTTCACGAAGGCTGGGTTTCCGCAGTCCACCGAGCGCGAGGGTGGAGACCTCGCCCTGCTCAGCGAAGCCCCTTCCATCGAGGAGCTCACATCCTTGCGCTTCTTACTCGCCTGGGCATGCTCGGCGGACGGTGTGGGAGTTGGAAGCGGAGGTCGTTCTTTGCCGGACTCCGATCGCGGCTTGGACTTGAACAGCTTCTTCCTATCGGCCGCGAAGATCATGATTTCACCTGCAAGGAAGATAAGATATTAGTTCGAATCCCTACAAGGAGCCCCTACCCGCTAAGGAAGTGAACGAGGGAAACCTGAGGGTCCTTCTTCAAGCTGACTCTGGACAACCCGGCGCTTGGGCTCGTCCTCATCATGGAAGACGAACCCAAACTTGGACAGAGCCTCGTCATTCACTAAGACCCCGGGCTCGTAGGGGCCACCCGAACACAACTTGTCTGTATCAGCGATAGCCTTGGAAGAGGCAAAGGGTTTGGATCGTCTACGAAAAGAACTGAGGGGGGACTCTCGGAAGGGGGAGGTTGACCCCACGGAGACGAAGACAAACTTGGACTTCCAAGTCTTGTTGGATTCCTTCTTGGTTTTAAAAAGTCTCTCTTGCCGCTGGCATAGGGCGGCGAAAGAACCCCCGTCCGACCCGGAAGACTTTGCCACTCGGAACAAAGTCATTAGGCGCTCAAGGTCGACTCGCACGCCCATCTCCCGGCAGCGGATCAAGAACCCCGCTAAGTACCAGTAGGAGTTCGGCACCAGTTGGCACAGGAGGAAGTCAAAGTAATTGAAGAAGTCGATGACCAAAGATTCGAGGGGGAAGCGGAAGCCGCTCTCAAGGGACTTGAGATGGATGGCAAAGTAGCCCGGAGGAGCGTCGAAGACTGGCTCATCCGGGGTAGGGCGACGGACGGTGACAAGGGGGCCGGCGTAGCGCACCACCCTGAGAAACTCGTCACTCGACAAGTCGCACTTGCACTCGCGGATGAGCGAGTCCACGAGCAATGTTTGTTTCTGGAGGCGAGGCTCACTAACCCCGGGCACCTCGACAGCCGTGATCTCCTCAACGGACGGGGAACCCGGCTGCTCCGCTCGGTCGCCCTGAGCCCCGGACCCATGACTGTCGAGCCCGAGCTCGCGCACGGCCTCGGACGTGCGAACAGAGGACGACTCGATAGACATGGAATAGCAGGGCAGAGGAACTGACCTCGAAGGAACGCCTCCGGGGGAGAGCGGGAAGCAACGAACGCCGACGTGTGAGAAGGGAAGCAGAGAGCGGCGGCGCGGAAGATGGTTAATGCCAAACCCTAATGTTTTCTCTCTCTAGAATGTGTGAGAATGAAGGAAGCCTTGGGGCTATTTATACTAAAAGTGGGCCCGGATAGTGATGGGCCGAACAGGTGTCACGATG